GACTGCTTTAAGTGACACAGGCAGACCCACCTTGAGAGTTGGTAGAACCTTCAGGTAGCAGCCCAGGTAAGAAAGCATGACAGAAGAAGATTATTTGCCTCTTGCTCGTCTGACCCTCCCTCCTGCCACTGTGCTGATTTACCTTGCTGCTACGCTGCTTCCTCCACTACTGTTACAGCCTGGAAGCATCTATCATCGACTAAGGACCAGCAGCTCTTCAGGAACCTGCCAAGTTTTCAGCACCAGATTGGAACTGTTGAGATACCAGCCTCAAGAACTGAGCATCTACCAGGTTCTTAGCCTCTTGGATATGAGACAGCTCACTACTGTTTTATTGTCAGATGAATAATATATATCTAGATTTACATTCTGTAGGTTCTGTTCCTCTAGAGAACCCTGACCACTATGCCAACTTCTCACCCTTTCCTCCAGTTCCCCTAAGGACTCAGAACCCAGAACCATTCCCTCCCCAGGGAGCTCCCATTAGCTCACACACACTCACCACTTCTAAGAAGAAATCCACATGGGGTCTCTTATGTACAAAAAACCGGACAGGATGTTTGTCTATGACCACCTGCGGAGGAACAGGGAAAGATGAGCAGGTCCTCAGCGCCACCGCAGACCTGGCCCCCATGCCACCACCTGCTTTGCTCCTTCTGGCTGATCCTGTGCCAGGTCTTACCAAGCCCTGACCTTAAAACTGGGAAGGAGAGTTTATGTCTGGACATAAGCAGGAGGTGTAAGTATTTCCCCATCTCCACACACCTTGAGGATGAAATCAGGAGGTGTTCCAGGCCTCACTGTAGGCCTCAGGACCCCGTCATGGTGAGAGTGAATGAGTGTTTCATCCAGATCCAGCACCAGGATCTTCTTCTTCACCTGGGCTGAACCACAATGGGAAGGAATTACACCAATGACCTGGAGCCCAAAGCTGGAGCCTACTTCACCTTCAGGTAGTCTCCCATCCAGCATACTCACCTAGTCGATTCCGGGACAAAGGAGATAAGGGGAGGATATCATATCGAACAGTTTGATACTGAATTACCTAAGAATAACAAGGGAAAAAATTAGAACACCTTATAAGAAAATCTTTCCCGACAATATTAATAGCAAATACTAAACATTTACCATATAAGATTCAGGACCTAGAGCTGGAGAGGTGGCTCAGAGGTTAAGAGCACTGACTGCTCTTCCAGAGGTCCTGAGTTCAATTCCCAGCACCCACATGGTGGCTCACAACCATCTATAATGAGATCTGGTGCCCTCTTCTGGCCTGCAGACACACATGCAGGCAGAACACTGTATACATAATAAATAAATCTTAAAAAAAAAAAAAAAAAGATTCAGGACCTAATGTATAATCCTAATAGTAATAAAGGTGAAGTTCAATGGTAGAGCACTTGTCTAACATGCAAGAGACTCTAGGTTCAATGCCCAGCACCATAAAACAAAAGTCAAGTAATACTGTAATTGTCCTTGTTTAACAACAAACGGTGAGATAGGTAACAAAGACTAAAGATCCTCATGCCTAGAGCTGCACAGCGGTCTTATCTCCCTAATTAAAATGGAAACTCCATGAGAACATGAATCTCCTCTCAATCATGCCTATTTTTTCAGTGCCTCAAAAACTGCAGCAAGGATAATGAGTTAACAGCAGACTGTGTCCTCTTAACACGATATCCTGCCCCCTGAACAAAGAAACACGCAGGTTCCCCACCTCCACCTCAGGGGCTCTCCGTGGCCATTCCCATCACCTCTCATTGGGAACCAAGAACCCCAGACTTGTGGGCCGAGACTAGGAATCAGGAAAGGAAGTCCTTGGGTCACTGAGGGCAACAGCAGATGAGGGAATCCAGGGGTTGTCAGGTCAGCTAAGTTCCTCTGGCTAGGGGCCATGAGGACTATTTTAACCAGCCACCTGTCCACTTGTGTTTCTACTAGCCAAGTCACAAGTGGTAGTGAATCTCTGCAGAGCCCCTTTACCCTGCTACCCAGGCAATGAGAGGCAGTGTCAAGTCCTGCTTGCCAACCTGACAGGCTAGAGAGAAGGCCAAAGCGGAGTGAGGACTGGGAGGGAAAGGGGAAAGGAAGGGGACAAGAACATCACTCAAGCTTCCAGCTCTGCTTCTCCAAGGCTTCTCTAGAAGCTGTTTCCTAACCCCCAGGGCTTCTACGTAGAGTCTGGCAAGTCCCTCTGTTCTTTTCTTCTACCATACAAATGCTCTCCAGTCCATTCCTAGGCCCTAAGCCACACATTCCCACTTGAAAACCAAAAGGCCCTCTCTTCTTTAATCCCAGGGCATCTGCCCTTCTTTTCTCCCTGAGCCTGTGATGAGGGCTGAACCAGCTCGGGTGTCCTGACTGCTATCTCGGGTTGCACAAGCTGGGCATGTGGGGAATGCTCCAAGGACCTGCCAGAACGGGCGGGCGTGGGGGGAGAAAGCAGACTGGAAGGAGGGCGGGACAAAAGGCTGGGGGTCACTGATGTACAGAGGAGAGCAATTTAGGAAGTAACTCATCCTCCAATACATGGACTGGAGCACTACTCCCTACACTCAAAACAAGAAAGAAAGAAATGAGCTGTTAGAAGAGGGAGGATTCTCAGGACAAGGTCAGAAAGAAAGGATAAGCAGCAGAAATCAACACATAATATCACAGGAGTTAGGCCCATACTCTGTCAGCCTTGCACACCCCCAATCTTTCATGAATCCCACTGCTCTTAGACTAGGTGTGCTTACCACCACCACCACCACCACCCAGAATAATCTTCACCTAAACCAGGAAGTGGAAGAAATCAGCCAAGTCTACTACAAGCCCCAAAGTCTTTCTGAGAATTCTCTTTGACCTAGGCTGCCAAAGATTACAGCCAGTTCACTCATTTTCCCCCAGAACCTGACTTGAGGAGATTTGCTCAAAGGGGTGATGAAAACCTAAGGGCACGTGGATCAAGTGATGTTAGCTGAAATAAATTTTACCTTGGAGAAAAGCTTGAGGGAGAGACCCCAGAGATGCTTGGGCTCATCCAAACAGTCTCCACACTCCAGTTATCCCTTCATAATTGCCAGAGTCTCCTGGAGAAACATGCCCACCTTCCGATGCAAGCCCTCCAGCTAACAGCTAGATCTTCTAACGAGACACCCAACTTAATGTGCTGCCTCCTACAACTAAAACTGCCTATTATAAAAGCATCTTTTTCAGTCCTAGGGTCTCAACAAACCCATTTACACACGCCATAGGTTTCCAGAGCCTTTTTGGAGGAGTTCCTTCACAACCAAGGCTCCCCCCCCCCCCCAGGCTCCCATCCCTGCTACATATGCCCTCCTACACAGTCACCACTGACAAAGGAGCCTGGCTCTTTCTACAGCAGGGTCTTTCCAGAGCCCGCATCAACAGTTCTGGCTACCAACAAACAGGTGTTCCCCGCCTCTTGCTTTCTTTAGCAACAACTCCAGCTTTCTTAAGGAAAGCACCATTCCAGCCCCCAAGAGCTGCCAAACAAATCCTATCCCACCTAGGCAGATTAAAAAAGAAACCAAAAGCACTACAGACCTTGGTTCTTTTATAAGGGTCTAGACCCTGCTTAAAGGTGCCCTACTTCTCCAGCGGGTAAAGCTCTGACCAAGACTCCGTTCCTAGGCCCCAAACAGAGGCCCAACACTACCCAAAATTTCATGAGCCCCGCGGACAGAGATCCCCACCACTGCCAGCACCCACACAACTCACCGTGCGGATCTGCCTCCGCAAAAGGTAAATAAAGAAGCTCCAGAGCTTGGCGGCGAAGGCCACGAACGTGCGCAGCCCCAGCAGACACTGCGTCCGCATCATCCCGATGACCCCGGCACCGCCGGCCCCGGGGCCCCCGCGGCCCAGCTCCGCCAGCCCCCCGGGGGCAGCCCCCCGCCGCCGGGAGGGGGAACGGGGGCCCCGAGCGGCAGGAGAGGCTGCAGAGATGGGCACGGAGTGGGTGGCTCAGAAAGCCACCCCCAGCGAAGGGGAAGCCCCGCGGAACCGGGAGCTGGGGGCCTGGCGTGGGCCGCCCGCAGGGGCCCACATGAGCGGGAAGTGGCAGCGACGGCTTCGCGTGGGCTGCAGGGCCGAAGCAGGTCGGGCTAGGACGGGGTCCTCCGAGACCAGGAGGGAAGGGGATGGAGAATTGGGGGAGGGGGCGGTGGGGGAGGGGGCTAGGGAGGAGGGAGGGAGGGAGGAGGGAGGGGAAGGGAGGGGGGAAGCGAAGGGTGGCCCTCTGCGCAGGCGCGCTGGGGGTCTGCCCCGGGAAGGGGGCGGGCGGGCGGGGGCAGCGGCGCGCGCCGGGCCACGACGACTCTTGGGGACTCTTGGGGCCTCGGGGCGCAGGAACGGGGAGGGAGGGGGAGGGGGAGCCAGCCGGAGGGCGCGGCGCGCTGGGCCGGGGTGGCCTCCCCCTCCCCGAGGCCAGGGTCTCCTAGCCGCTAAGGAGCGGGGCTGCAGCTGCTGCCGCCGGGCTTCCCACTCTGACGGGCGCCATTTTACCGCCCAGAGGGCCCCCTCCTCCTCCTCTCTCCCCTCCTCCTCTTCCCCTCTGACAGTACTTCCGGCAGTGACGCGTATTCACTTCCCCGGGACGGATGGCCCCTCCGCTCGTTCTAATGAAGGAGGGGAAGAGTGAGGGAAGGAAAGCTCAGCGAGTCCAGACCCGGGGGAGTGCCGCGCTGCGCACGCGCGCGGGGTTACGGCTGGGCGGGGCCCGGAGCCGGGCGCCACGGGGGTGGGCGGGGCCGGTGACGTCACGGGCCCCCGGGTTCGGGCCGTCCTGGGGTCGCGGGGCTCGCGCGACCCCTCTCTCCCCGGGGCCCGGACAACTGTCCCAACGGCCCTCCTCACCCCGGCCGCGGTGCAAGAGCTGACCGGGGATGTCGTCTCCACGACTGTGTGCAGAGACTCGGCAGCGGCGTCCCCTCCGAGTGAGCCCCGCGGAGAACACGGAGCATAAGAGGAAAAAAGAGAAAAAACCCTCGTTCCAGGCTTTGCGGGCCTTTAATGGGGGGGGGGGGGATGAGGAGGGAGGAGCAATCGTAAGTGCCCCGCCTCCTCGGCCGTGACGGCATCAGAAAGCGTCCGAGATGCTGGACTCGCTGTTGGCCCTCGGTGGCTTGGTGCTTCTTCGAGGTGAGGAGGAGAGGGAGGCCCGTGGGGGGAGCCTCGGGCCTGGCTGCAGGGGCGGAAGGCTTGAGGCTGCCTGGCTAGGGGTGGGAGACCTAAGGGCTCTGTCGGATTTGCACCTGCTTGGCTCCCTGCAGATTCCGTGGAGTGGGAGGGGCGTAGTCTCCTGAAGGCTCTAATCAAGAAATCTGCCCTTCGGTGAGTTATCCTGCCGCTTCCCTTGGTCCTTCCGGGGAAGGGAACCGGTGCCCCCATTCTTCAACGTATCCCCATCGTCTTTGCTTTAGTGGGGAGCAAATCCACGTTCTGGGCTGTGAAGTGAGTGAAGAAGAGTTTCGCGAAGGTTTTGGCTCTGATATCAACAGCCGGTAAGTAGAAATTAGAACGGGTTTCTTTCGGACCTCAGTTGATAAGGAGCGTCTACTCAGCGAAAGCACAGACTCTCGGATTGTGTGGAAATGGGATCATATAACTTCATATAACTTGGAACAGTAGAAATTATAAACAAGACTATCTGAAGTTCTAGAGACTTGAGCCAAAGCTGGCCTACTTGACTGGAGACAAAGGGATGGAGAGGAACACCATGAGGCTATGGCTCACTGAGCAAAAGAGAGCAGGAGACTCATATTTCCTGGAGTAGACTATAAAGATATTTTCCTGAACATAAGCATTCTGCCTTCAATGTTGCAGGTTAATAAATAGTCAAGAAACTGCAGTTTCTCTTAGAGTGTTGCCGTCATCTCTCATAAATATCCTGCAGTTGCTCTGTTCTGGGTCTTATAAGGCTCAGGACTATAGACAGTAGACTTGAGTTGAAAACACAAGAAAAAGGTAAAAGAGCATACTAACTCCAAAGTGTAATAGGGTAAATTAACCTTTGGACAAAACTTTTTCCTTTTTATTTTCTTAATCCTCAGAAAAGGACATTTAGCTATTTTTTTTTAAATTGTGAACTCACAATAGCCTCCAGCTCTTATCAATCCTGTCTCAACCTCTGGTGTGCTATGATTATGTTACAAACCACATTGAATTTATAAAATATCTCAATAAAACAATGTGGTGTAAGGCACTGTGGTAGTACACACCTGTAATCCCTGCACTCAGAAGGCAAATACAGGGAGATCTTTGTGTGATCCTAGCCAGCCTAGTCTGTGTAGTGTGTTCCGGGCCAGTTAGGTCTACATGGTGTGTAGCTGAAATGTTTCTCCGGCCAGTGGGGACACACACCTCACACCCCACACCCCCGCCTTTGTGGTCCCACAGCCACTTATAAAATAATAATTTAGAGGCTTAATATTACTTACAAATTTACAGAGCCATGGCGTTACCGGTCTGCTGGCCTCTTGCTCTGCCACCCCAGCGGCTGTCTCTCTCTGTCCTCTCCTTCCTTCTCTAGGATTTCCTGCCTGCCTCTAAGCTGCCTTGCCATAGGCCAATGCAGCTTTATTTATCAACCAATCAGAGCAACACATATTCACATCGTACAGAAAGACATTCCACAGCAATAGTGAGACCCTGTTTCTAAATAAATAGTAAATGTAAAGCAAATAAAATGACTCCAAAATTTTAAATGAGTGTATCCTCAGACTGCTTTCATGGCTGTATGCTAAAAAGACAAAATGACTTTAATTTTTTTTTGGATTTTTTTTTTTTTATCTTATGTATATGAGTGTTTTGTCTACATGTATATGTATATGTACCATGGGCATACTTTAGCGCCTGCAGAAATCAGAAGAGGGTGTTGAATCCTCTGGAACTGGAGTTTTACATGATTTGAGCCATCGTCAAATCAGGACCCTCTGCAAAAGCAACCAGTGCTCTTAACTATTGAACCATCTCTCCAGCCCCTCAGGACAAAATGATTTTCAAATGACCAACATGTCTACAAAGAGAATGATGCAGTATGAAGACAGAAGTACCAAGTCTTTCATCCCATTTTCATTATGTGTAGAATGAAGTGATGAGGTAGTGTTTTTAGCATAAATGATCTTCAGATTTCTAATGGGACAGTTAATGGCTAGTTTTTGGTTTTTCAAGACAAGGTTTTTCTTTGTAGCCCTGGCTGTCCTGAAACTCACTCTGTAGACCAGGCTGGCCCCAAAGTCACAGAGATCCACCTGCCTCTGCCTCCTGAGTGCTGGTATCAAAAGCATGTGCCACCACACTTGGCAAATTTTTTTTAATTTTAAAAAAATTAATTTTTAGATTTCTGTAAATCCCCATCTAGCGCCTACTTAGGGCGGCTCACAGCCACCAGTATTTCCAGCTCAAGGGTATCTGGTGTCCTCTTCTGGCTTTCTTGGGTACCTATACTTACTTGCACATAATCACATACTCATGTATATACATAATTAAAAGATAAGCTTTTTAAAAATTATAAATTTACAGGGCTGGAGAGATGGCTCAGCGGTTAAGAGCACTGGCTGTTCTTCTAGATGACCTGGCTTCAATTCCCAGCATATATATGTTAACTCACAACTGTAGCTCCAGTTTCAGGGAACCCAACACCATTACACAGACATACATGCAGGCAAAACACCAATGCATATAAAATAAAAATAAATAAATTACAGATTTACTTTAGGGACTAGAGACTGCTCAGGTGGTATGGGAGTGCTTCCTGGCATGCTCAAAGCCTTGGGTTTGAGCCCTAGCACTATATAAACCTGGGGCAGGGGGGTACATCTGTCATCCCAGCACTTGGAAGGTTCAGACAGGCCGGTCAGCAGTTTGAGGTCATTCTTGACCACATAGCACTTTTGAACCCCAAAACTAGCAATGGCAGCAGTCAAAGGAGTGGGTAGATCTTTAGGAACATGAGATTCCCTGAAGCTGGAGCTCTAGTTGGGAGCTGATGGGAACTGTGGAAATGAGGATTGGTGACAACTAGGACAATCCAGAAAGGGTCCCAGAAGTTGAGAGAAATGGAAGTAAAAAGGTGACAGTGTGTCTGGGCACTAGAGGACCTACAGGATGGTAGAGTAGATAAACCCTGCCCTTTGGGTTATTCTGAATGGTGCATAATTCAGTCATAGAATCCAGGCTTGCATCAGCACTAACTGCAGGGTACTAAGGGACTTGCCCTAAAGGCAAAGGGACACCAGAGTAACATATGACAAGGCATGAGAGGTCAGGTAGATAAAGAGGTACCTGACTGTAAAAAGGTCTTCCAGAGCACAATGGAAGTTTAGATGTTATGCCAAGAACCGTTGGGAGGAGAGTTTAGTCACACCATGCCTCTTCGAAACACTAGTCCATTGGTTACCATGGAGGGGATGTAACAACACAAGGCAGCCTGGAAGTGGAGACTAGTTAGGAAGGTTAGTGCAGTATCCAGGTTCACTCACGAGGTCAGTCTGTACTGAGCACCAAAAACCAAGAGCTATGCTCAGACACTCGCGATAGAACAGTGGATAAGACTAGCTTGTTTCCTGCTCTAGTAAATCGTAGAAAACAATGGTAAGAAGTGACAGGGCTCTTCTGTGTGGCAGGATCCCGGTGGGGCGGGGAGGGGTTGTTTTTGTTGCTAAGATTTGGTTTGGTTTTTTGAGGCAGAGTCCCATTACATATCCTTGGCTGGCCTGAAACTTGCTATATATACCAGGCAGACCTTGAGCTCACAGAGAGCCATCTATCTTGGCCTCCTGAGTGCTGGGGTTGAAAGCGTAAGTCACCACTGTCCC